CCCTATGTCTCAGGTCTACTAGGGGTAGTAGCAATTCAAGCCTCTTAGGCTCAGGATGTCATCTTCCCTCTCCTCCTTATGCAAGATAGAGTCTCAGTGTGTAGAACTGGCTGGCTTGGACCTTCCGGAAACCAGCCTGCCTCCACCTGCAGAGTTCTGGGATTAAAGACACGCACAGCCATGCTCCGTTTATCATCTTATGATATATACAAATGACTAAGCTCTTCTTTTGGGTTTATGCCTATTAAGATTTGTTTTGTTTTTGTTTTTTTTTTCTCTTGAGACACGGTCTTACTGTGTAGTACTGCTGTTGAAATCTTGACTCTCTCGCCCCATCTTTTTTTGTTCTTGTTATTCTTTCAAGACAGGATCTCATTATGTATCTCTGGCTGTCCTGGAACTCCCTGTGTACTGTAGGCTGGCCTTGAACTTACGGAGATCTGCACCTGCCTCCTAAGCGCTGTAATTAAAGGTGTGTTCCACCACACTGCGCTTCACCCCATCTCTCCAGTGTGGGAATTATAGGTTTATGCAACCATGCATAACCAATGTCTTTTACTACTTTGGCATTTGAAGTTGAAAACAGAAAAACTATATGCGTTAATTTATGTTAAATTAATAAAAATTAACCATAGATTTATATGAATAGTATACCTTATTTTAAAAGCTATTTCTGTACTGGCTATGTTCCCCCACTTTTCTTTATTCTTGTTTTGTTTTTCAACACAGGATTTTGTTAGGAATTTTTTCCTAACGTGAGTTCTCTGCCGACACAATTTCCCAATCAAGCCAAATTAAGAAATATCCAGGTTTAATGGGATTCCTGCACCAGGAGGAAGGAAAAGAGACCACATGTTCTTCTTTTGGGAGTTCATTTAAGTACCCTGTGGAAGTGGTCCTGACCCTGGGATTTGGAGTCCAGACCAATACAATTCTCAGGCCTGGGGGCTGGGATAGATGAGAAGGGCTGGGGTCTATGCTCCCAACTTAACATTCCAGACTCTTTGGATATAGGAATGACAGGAAATTGAAGTGATAGGCTCTCTAGGAAAAAGGGGCATTGACTCAAGTCTGGCTACTTCCTGCAGGTATAGGACAACGTGGAGAAGGGGAGAGCTAGGTGTTGGTGGGTCCACACTCAGCGAGAGATGTGGCTGGAAAGGCATCCCATGTACTGTCATCCCAGAGATGCCAGGCATCTGTTTCTTGGAGGAGGTGAGAAGAAAATATTGTTATTACCAAAGATGAGTGAGTCAGGATGATGAGCAGGTTGACCCTTCATTGTGGCATCCTGGAAAACCGGAGGGTGGAAGGTCCTGTCTGCTGGACAGACCAAGTGTCCTGAGTAGGTGCCCACTTGAGCTTGGAGAGATGGTACCAGCATGGGTGTTCTAAGAGCTTGGCAGCTGAGGGGGTGGTGAGGATTACCATGTGAGGTCCTGTCCATCGAGGTTCAAGAGACTTAGGAGTTAACTGTTTGAGGAGTACTCTGTCCCCTGGGGAGAGCGGGGCAGGTTTGGGGACATTAGGGTCCACTGGTGTGGTGTCAGGGAGACAACTGTCAGCGTGTGAACGGAGAAGGGACCTTAAAAGGGAGAGGTAGGGTAGGTACCCCACCAGGGGAGGAGTTTGAACTGGGAGGTGATGGTTAAAGAGAAAGGGCCTGCCATAAAGCAGCTCAAAAGGGTTCAGGCCCGTAGGGGAACGTGGGGTGGCCCTAAGGCAAGTCAGGGCAATGGGGAGAAGGGAGGGCCAAGATAGCCTGAGTTCAATGGAGAGCTTGGTTAGTTGTTTGATGAGTCCATTGGCCCTCTCCACCTTTCCTGAGGAGTGTGGATGGTAGGGGGTGTGGAATTTCCAGGAGTTGTTGAGAGCTTCTGACACGAGCTCCATGACCCTGGAAGTGAAGGCTGAGCCACCATATCTGCTGTTTCCCTGGAGACCGAAAAGGCTTCTATCCATCCTGTAGAAGTGTCTACAAGTGTTAAGAGATAACGGAGTTTTTTTATGAGTAGGGATATGAGTGAAATCAACTTGCTAATCTTCACCAGGTTGGTACCACGAAGCTGGTGTAGAGACTGACCTATGTGGAGAGGCTCTTGTGGGTTGGCCTGGGCACACATCTGGCAGGAAGAGTGAACCTGTAAAATATGATCTCAGAGATGGATGGGGTCAAAAAGGGGCTCCAAGAAGCAGAACAAAGCTTTGAGGAAGCAGCTAAGGAAAACTCCACCCAGTAAAGGTGCTGGGCAAGAATGAGAGAAAAAAAAAAAAACTGTCCTGCAAGAATGCAGGGCAGAGGCAAAGTTTTAAGTGGGGAAGCTGCCAGAAATGCACTGTGCAGACCCACGGGACCCCGGAGTCCTGGAAGGCAGCCGGGTGCACAGACCTGTCAATAATTTGTTCCTATCTGGTCATCACAGAAAAGAGCAAAAGGAGCTAAAATGCCTCTGGGTCTCCTACAAGACATCTCAGAAGGATTTAAAGAACTGTCTTAAGTATGTCAACATCTGTTGTAAAATAGTCTTAATTTTTTTATTACATCATAACGTATTTTGTGTGTGCTGGATGGATGGAGGTGGATCTGTGGTGTAGCATTCTCCAAGAATGGACATGTGTATGTAAAGGCCCACAGGTACTAAGTTTGACACACCTTTGGGGGCTGTGTGAGTGAGTGTTCCACCAAATAGACGAACTAACATGTAATCTTGAAAAAACATACAGGAAAGTGAGTGCAGTCAGTTTGAATCCATTAATATTAAACTCAACTCGCCATTAATGTGTGGCTGTTGCATTAAGAAGATAAATTAAAGCGCTAACCATTAGTGACATTTGGCCAAGACTGAGTCCAGATGTGAACACTAACTCTCCCTGTGTCCCCTCTCCCCCGCCTGTCTCTCTGTTGTGGGAGTCTGAATCTGTGCCTGCCTGTGAGGCTGTCTTGTGAATCTGTTCCTCTTTCTGTGTCTGTCTGAATGTTTCTCTTTCCAACAGGGGGGTTCATGCCCTCACCCCCAACTAAACAGCACAGAATTGGTCACATGGGGAAGAAATGAAAAACACTTTACAGAAATCTTTAGCAAGGTATTATTACAAGGGATTAAGTCAAAGATTCGAACTGACCCCAGTTAAGGAGATTAGAAACATCATAGTTATCAAACATTATTGCTTATCAGGCAATAAACATTCCTTCTGTGAGACTGCTTTCAGTTTCTATTTTAGTGATTCCAGCAGATGATGATCAGAACACACAGGCTCCACATGAAAAAGCAGATACTATAAGACCCAACTATGATATCATGTAGGTTGTAAAAGATGATTACTGGAAAATACAAAATAAGTAAGGTTGGTTTTTTGCCCTCTTAAAAGCAGGTTATGCAGACAGACTGAGTACACAGTAGGCTAGAGGTCTTGTGTGAGCTCAAGTGTCAGGATCCAGTTAGCCCCAACATAAACTATCTCTCTGAACTGATATGGAAGAACGGTAATAATTGAGTCAACTCACTTGGCTTTGTCGGGAGGGAGATTTTCAGAGATCCCTCAGGAAATCCTTGAGTTCACATCTTGAAAATTCCCCTCATTTGTTCTCCAAACAGCTTTATACCAAAGCATAAACTGAGGGGGAAATTCATTAGAATTCTGTTTCCTAGGTAACCAGGTGAACGGCTTTAATCATATCTACACCTTTGACCACACCGTTCCATGCCCATTTTGTCGTGTCTCCCTATCTTCTTTCTCTGTATGCCAGTTCTGTCACATAGGCCTGAATTAGCATCTCTATCCCAGGCATCCTCCATATTACAAAGAAGGAGCAGAGCAACACCCTGACCCTTTGTTAGGGTAGTGACAGCCTGTCTGGAAGGCTACCTCAGGGGCTAACTGTGGCTTGAGAGCCTGGCTGCCCTACTGTATAAAAGTATGAGCCTACACTCAAGGTGTATTAATGAAGAATGGCTGTGTTGTCCAGGCGAACTTCCAGTCTCTTAGAAGGAAAGAAATACCTTATCCTATTGCATTGCCACACTTCATCTTCTTGTTTTCTTAAAGAACCAACATGTCAGTGTAGATAGTCACTGCCACGTCCACAGCAGTGACTGCCGTGTAGTGACAAAATGCCTCTGCGCTGGCTTTTGCCTGCTGAAGGATTGGGGTTAGAGCTTCTTGGAGCGAAGCCCCAGGTGGTTCCCCTGGCAATCAGCGGTCGAGATAGGACCTGATGCCAGAGGCAGATCTCGTATCTGGAGATGGCCCTGAGAGCGAGCCCTCCTGACACCTTGCCTGATCTTTCTCTGTATTTCTTAATTTTCTTGTTTA